TGCTTTAGATTCTTGGGAATGGCCAAACAACCACAAAGCCACTATCTTTGTCCTGAAATCCTTCTGACGACTGTGAGGTGGGTTTCCAGATCAAGAGATTGGATTAAATGTTTGGCCCGGCTCTACACTAGAACCTTATTTTGAAATAACTGCCCCAAAAGGCGAATTTGTAAGTGGTGCGCCCGTACGACGAAGCCTGTTATTTTGAAATACTGAGCTGCGGAATTCGCACTCTTCACTCCTGGTTTTCATCAGGAGTAACATTAATTCTGAAATAGTAATTTCAAAATAACGATAGTGTGGCTGCTCCTCAGAGGGTTCCTGGGGCTTTAAGGCTGAGGGAGCACGTCCACATTAATGCAGCCTACATCAGACTCGTTTCGATTCTTCCCCGTAGTGAGGAGACGTGAGTTGCAATTTGTTAAATCAGGAGCTCATTAAGTCTAAACAAGGAGTTCTGCTACATCTACACTGCAGGGTTTTTGCACAAGAAGTCTTTTGTGGAAGAATTCTTGTGCAAAAACTTCTTGCGCAAAAGTGCATCCATACCTCATGGATGTTCTTGCGCAATAAAGCTTTGATGGCCATTCACCTGTACTTTTTCCGATAGGCTCTTTTGCGCAAGAAACCCTTGCGGAGCTTCCACTCATGCCTTTCTGCACAAGAGCGGTAGCCAAAAAAGGAGTTATGCCTCATAAAAGGAGGCTTACCTATCCCAGAAAAGTGATAGAAATGTAGCCTTAAATGTTAGTCTTTAAAGTGCTGCATAGTCCTGTATTTTGCTTCAGCTATACCAGAAAAAGCCCTCTGTTCTGCCATTTTACTGCCAATTTACTTGCACAAAAGTGCATTTGAGGTGTAGACACTCCACAAGGTTTTGTGCAAAAACCTCGCAGTGTGGATGTAGCCCTCATGTTCAGCTGATTTTCCACCACAGCCCCCAGATCGTTCTGGGAGTCGCTGCTTGTCCAGACAGGGTGCCCCGTCCTCTGAGTCCGGCTGACTTTCTTTGTTCCTAGATGGATGAATTTACATACAGCCATTCACATCCCCACAAGTCTCAGTGTAAAACCTGACCAGGGGAGACTCCATCACGCAAACCTCACATGACTTTATGAGAAATCTCGCTTCATAAAGTCTCACCCCCTCCTGGAGGCGCGTATCTCATGAAACTCTGAGCTTTTGTGGCAAATAAATCACACTCTAGACCAGAGTTTGGAGAAAGAAAACTGAAACTGAGCCACGGAGCAGCAAATAAACAAACCCTAAAAGCTTTCTTTTGTTTTTTTATAACCTGTGATTTTTAAAGCCAATCTCACAATTTTCAGTGGGCTCCAACTTTGAAATTTTGCATCAGAGGGTATGTCTACACTGCAGAGTTTTTCCGGAAAAACAATACTTACGTCGAGACTGCTATTGCATACTTTCGACAGAAAGTTGAAAGAATGGAGGGGTTTTTCGGACGGCAGTAAACCTCATTCTATGAAGAAGAAGCCTTTTTCCAAAAAAGCTTTTTCGGAAAAAGGTGCGTGTGGCCACGGAAGAGTGTTTTTTTGAAAGAAGAGGCCTCCAGGAAAAAGCATCGGTGCCCTGTTGGGCACTCTGTCCACAGTCATTACAACTGAAATGCGAGAGAGCGTCCAATCCATGTGGGAGCTATCTTTAAAAAAAGCACATCGCTTTTTTGTTGCACTTCTGCTGTGTGGATGCATCTTTCTAAAGAAGTTTTTCTGGAAGATCTCTTCCAGAAAAGCTTCTTTTGAAAGAAGCCCACAGTCTAGACATAGCCAGAGATGCCAGCAGAGAGGATACAAGGCACAGACGGAACCCAAAGAAGAAACTGTGACACAAGAGAGATCGACAGGGAGGCAGCGTGTGCTCCTACAAGCCAGAGCTGGCTGGAAAATGAATCTTCCATACCATGAGAAATTCAGACATTTCACTGGGGCGGGGGCAGGCTCCATTGTGAATGGGAGTGAAAAGCTGACATGTTTAACCTCCAACACGATGAGAATGCTAAAACAAATGGTTTTGCTCATGTTGAAACGTTGCCGTTCTATAATAAAAATATTTAATTTTTGGCATCATAAAATGTTTTGCAAAGGAAAAGAACCCATGTGTCAGGGCAGCATTGGCATTTTGAGTCATTAAGTTTTGACTTTGATGTTGCATGAGGGTGTGAAATCTAGTCTGAGCGTAGGAAAAACTTTCCAACTCTAAGGGTACGTCTAAACTACATGGCTCTGTCGACGGAGCCATGTAGATTTGTTGTTTTGGCAAAGGTAAATGAAGCTGCGATCATTTAAATCGCGGCTTCATTTACATTTATATGGCTGCCGCGCTGAGCCGATAAACAGCTGATCAGCTGTTTATCGGCTCAGCGCGGCAGCCATATAAATGTAAATGAAGCCGCGATCATTTAAATCGCGGCTTCATTTACATTTATATGGCTGCCGCGCTGAGCCGATAAACAGCTGATCAGCTGTTTATCGGCTCAGCGCGGCAGCCATATAAATGTAAATGAAGCCGCGATCATTTAAATCGCGGCTTCATTTACATTTATATGGCTGCCGCGCTGAGCCGATAAACAGCTGATCAGCTGTTTATCGGCTCAGCGCGGCAGCCATATAAATGTAAATGAAGCCGCGATCATTTAAATCGCGGCTTCATTTACATTTATATGGCTGCCGCGCTGAGCCGATAAACAGCTGATCAGCTGTTTATCGGCTCAGCGCGGCAGCCATATAAATGTAAATGAAGCCGCGATCATTTAAATCGCGGCTTCATTTACCTTTGCCTATGTGTCTAATCTACATGTCTCTGACGACAGAGGCATGTAGTCTAGACACAGCCTAAGTTACAGTGTGGAAGGGCTAGGTTGGATATTAGGACAAACGATTTCCCTAGGAGGATGGGGAAGCTCTGGGATGGGTTCCCTAGCAGCAGCAGGCAGGCATTGCTGGGTGTATGTGTGTAGACTTTCTTTGTAAATGTGGAGCGTTAGGGTGCAAACGCACCTCTGCCCCTTGCTCCCCCAAATAAGCTGCCTGAGAGAAAGTAGGTGTTCTGGGGGTGGAGTGTTGCTGTCCCCCTGGAACCATCCTCCCGGTGCTCTGAGGCAGGGCCAGGCTGGGCGCTGCTGCACACCCTGACTCCTCCCTGCCCTGGTGCTCCAGGGTTGGGGAGGCTGCAGTGTGCACGCTCACACTCCCCTCCCCTCTCTGAGGTCGGAAGGGGGCAGCACATTCATGGTGCACTGCCCTGCCTCCCCAGGAGTGGGGGAGGGGCAGGGCCTAGCAGAAGGGGTGGGACTGGGGGCGGGGGGGAGGGCTTCCACCCCCAGCCCTACCTTCCCCAACCGCCCATGAAGCCCAGCCCCAGCCTCACTCCTGGAGGAGCGGGGGAAGTCAGCCCCAGCCTTCCCTTGGGTGACCAGAGCAATGGGTAGGGAGGCTGGGGCAGTGTGAAACTCCTGCCTTCACCTGGCCGGCCAGAGCACGCTTCCTTGGGGAACCACGGAGCGGGGTGTGTGCGTTTGCACCCTTCCCATCCCCCACCCCGGCATACAGGCTTGATATACCAAACATCCGTCTCTGGGTTCCTTTGTCTTTTACATAGAAACATTCGTCCCTTTCTTATAAATATTGATCCACACACAACCCAAATTTTCACGGGCCACACGCTGAATGAAAGGCGGCAGTGATTTTCCATGGCTGGTTTTCTTTATATGCCCAGGAATGGCGATCGGTGGAATAAATAATTACATTTTTCATGAGCTGGCTTCCCATAGACACCACTGGATAGATTCTACCAGTTAGGTTGGGGTGTACCGTGACTTTCTATGCTTGGAGAACCATTTCACCTTCATGTAGGGTAACATTTGCCTACTTCCCCCATGCCATTAATTGTCTCTTCCTGTCTGTAATGTTTTCCCTCAACAGTTTCCTTATTTCCAAAGGCAAATTTCCTTGTAGATTTTTCCAGATGATTTGAATGAGCAATTTCTGGCTTATTTCCTGGGCTACCGCTAGGGACACCTTTATATATGGAGATGTACCTATCTCATAGAACTGGAAGGGACCTTGAGAGGCCGTTGAGTCCAGTCCTCTGCCCTCATAGCAGGGCCAAGATTTGCCTAACAGAAATCCCTGACAGTTTTGGCCCAGATCCCTAAATGGCCCTCTCAAAGATTGAGCTCACAACGCGCAATTTAACAAGCCAATGCTCAAACCATTGGGACGGGCTGGCTGGAACAGCCCCCAGGAAGGAGGTGCCAGGAGCACTGGGGCATTGTGGGAAAAGAAGCTATTTGCATATACATTTGACATACATTGAGCTACACAAATTATGGAGCTTCTTCCAAAATCTGGTGCTGTCTGCACAGTGTTAATTTCAAAGTAAATCGTTATGCCAGCGTCTTCCTTAATCCTCCTGCAATGAGGTTTACAGGAAGCCGGAATAAGAAGCCCATTATTTCGAACGTATTTCTGTAGGGTAAACTGAGGCAGCCCTAAATGTGCTAGTAGGCCTCTAAACAGCATAACTCCATCCTAAAATCAAAACACCTGGAAACACCACAGTCAGGATAAGAGCTGCAGGCAGTAAAAAAACCCTGGGCACCATAGCAACCACGTTCTAAAACACTCGGACAGGGTCCCAGTTAGTAACATAAAACATTTTGCTTAAAATAATATTCATAAAATTTGCTTAAACTGTCTTGCTTCACTCCTAGATAATAAGCCTGAGAACCAAGCGCTGCACCAACTCAAGGCCATATCCACCTGCTATAAAAACATCATCACCTATGCAAACTAAAATATTATTACTGTTTTGCTGACATGTTTTGGCATTTAAACAATAACCACCTGTATATTAATTAATGAGTTGTTACTTTGCAATGGGCGGAGATATTATGTAATCTTTAGTAGTTCTATTGGCTTATGTGCTCATTTCGTCTTGCTGC